AAACAAATACGGTTCTACAAAGAAAATTCTTAATCCAATGGCTATATGGTTTCAAATTTGGGTAATTTTTAAAGACATGATATTTGAGATAATATCTAAAAGATAGATGTTCAGATGGTTAAAAGACGTTATGAGCTCCACAAAAACATGTGTCAAAAGTTGTTTAAAAAAACTGGTGTCACGAATTCATCCCCAAATAAACTAAATCGCTTACGATCACCTAAAAAAATGGAATATCTTTAATTAAAAATTTAGGGGAAGTGATGTGTGTTTGAATATAGTGCAAAAGGTCGATTTTAGATTCAGTTGTTACAAAAGGCAAATAAAAAGAAAAGATGAAGACATTTTCTTAGATGAATATTATTAGTTATTCTTGTTTATTTTAAGAGAATAAAATTTTAAAGTAAATTGTAGCAATGGTTCCTCAACTTTAACTTAATTAGAGTAATGGTCCTTCAACTAAAAATCCATTAGCATTTATCCTTCAACTCATAAAAACGTGCAGTTATAGTCTCTCAACAAAAAATTCATTACCAATGATCCCTCAACTTTAATCAAACTGGAGAAATGGACCCTCAATTTTAACCCAATTGGAGAAATGGTTTCTCAACTTTAATCAAATTGTAGCAATGGTCCTTCTAACATAACTCGTTGTAACAAATTTTTAAGGATGTTGACGAAAACGACCATAGCTACACGTTTTGATGAGTTGAATGGCCAATGGTAATGGATTTTTAGTTGAGGCACCATTGCTCCAATTTGATTAAAATTGAGGGACCATTGCTATGATTTACTCAAAATTTTAAGATAAAGGCTCATCCATAACTAGAAACTGGAAAAGGACTGTGGATAAGCTTTTTTGTTCTCTTCTTCCCAGCTTTTTCCTCGAGCATTCAACTTTGCTTGAAAAAAGAAACTATTTGCTATAAGCGAAGTGAAGTGATTTGTTCTATTAAAATTAATAGGTGCTAATGGATTTCACAGGTAAATTCAAAATGACACGTTATTTAATAGATTCACCCGTTAACAATCCGATTTGTAAAACATTCACCTAAAATCAAATGCTTTGGAATAATGAATTGAGTTTAAAATGCCATGTTTAGTGGGTGGAAAGTAGGCCTGGCAATTCCTGACACGACCCGATAACCCGACACGACACGACACGAAATTAACAGGTGTTCGGGTCAACACGATAACGAAACGGGTCGTTATCGGGTAACCCGATAAGCACCTGTTAAGATAACGGGTTTGTTCGGGTATACACGTGGGTAACACGATACACGATAAGCAGAATATTAATTTAATAATTTATAACCCTAAAAAAATACTATAATAATTATATATATATATTAATTTAACAATTTTATACCCCTAAAAACTATAATAATTATATATATATATATATATATATATATATTAAATTAACTATAATAATTATAATAATTATATATACTATAATAATTATACCCAAAATATTAACTATAATAATTATATATATATATATATATATATATTAAATTTGATACCCCTAAAAACTATAATAATTATACATACAAAATAAATAGATTTAAATCTACTTAATAAATAAATATATATATATACACACACACACCATTGAACTTCATGGGATATGAATTATACGAAACTAATTTCAACGATCCAACCGTCAAACATGTTTGTATATACTTCGAGATCGCATACGCCAAAAATTGCAAAAAAAAAACATTCAAAGAGCAAGTAACGGGACAAAACTTTTCGACGGTTATAAACGAAAAATCACGATTTAACGGTCATTTTAACTCCGATTTTGATGATTTTTTACAACTACACTCCTTGACCCTATATGAATACAATGATTGAATTCGATCTTCAATTTAAAATATTTACACTATCTTATGTTATACTTAATAAAAGTATAAATAAACTCTTAAATATTAGTGAATCTATTGTTTTGATGGGATACTCATTCTACAAAACTAGTTTCAATGATCCAACTGTCAAACATGTTTGTATATACTTCGAGATCGCATACGCCAAAAATTGCAAAAAACAAACATTCAGAGATCAAGTAATGGGGCAAAAGTTTTCGACGGTTATAAACAAAAAATCACGATTTAACGGTTATTTTAACTCCGATTTTGATGATTTTTTACAACTACACTCCTTGACCCTATATGAATACAAGTAATGAATTCGATCTTCAATTTAAAATATTTACACTAGTGGATACCACAAAATCTTATGTTATACTTAATAAAAGTATGAATAAACTATTAAGTATTAGTAAATTTATTGTTTTGATGGGATACTCATTCTACGAAACTAGTTTCAAAGATCCAACCGTCAAACATGTTTGTATATACTTCGAGATCGCATACGTCAAAAATTACAAAAAAAACACATTCAGAGATCAATTAATGGGACAAAACTTTTCGACGGTTATAAAAAGAAAAATCACGATTTAACGATCATTTTAACTCTGATTTTGATGATTTTTTGCAGCTACACTCCTTGATCTTATATGAATACAATGATTGAATTCGATCTTCAATTTAAAATATTTACACTAGTGGAAACCACAAAATCTTATATTATACTTAATAAAAGTATGAATAAACTATTACGTATTAGTGAATCTATTGTTTTGATGGGATACTCATTCTACGAAACTAGTTTCAAAGATCCAACCGTCAAACATGTTTGTATATACTTCAAGATCGTATACGTCAAAAATTACAAAAAACAAACATTTAGAGATCAAGTAACGGGACAAAACTTTTCGACGGTTATAAACGAAAAATCACGATTTAACAGTCATTTTAACTCCGATTTTGATGTTTTTTTACAACCACACTCCTTGACCCTATATGAATACAATGATTGAATTCGATCTTCAATTTAAAATATTTACACTAGTGGATACCACAAAATCTTATATTATACTTAATAAAAGTATGAATAAACTATTAAGTATTAGTGAATCTATTGTTTTGATGGGATACTCATTCTACGAAACTAGTTTCAATGATCCAACCGTCAAACATGTTTATATATACTTCGAGATTGCATACGCCAAAAATTGCAAAAAACAAACATTCAGAGATCAAGTAACGGGACAAAACTTTTCGACGGTTATAAACGAAAAATCACGATTTAACGGTCATTTTAACTCCGATTTTGATGATTTTTTACAACTACACTCCTTGACCCTATATGAATACAATGATTCAATTCGATCTTCAATTTAAAAATATTACACTAGTGGAAACCACAAAATCTTATGTTATACTTAATAAAAGTATGAATAAACTCTTAAGTATTAGTGAATCTATTGTTTTGATGGGATACTCATTCTACGAAACTAGTTTCAATGATCTAACCGTCAAACATGTTTGTATATATTTCGAGATCGCATACGCCAAAAATTGCAAAAAACAAACATTCAGAGAGCACGTAACCGGACAAAACATTTCGACGGTTATAAACGAAAAATCATGATTTTAACGGTTAATTTAACTCCGATTTTGATGATTTTTTACAACTACACTCCTTGACCTTATATGAATACAATGATTGAATTTGATCTTCAATTTAAAATATTTACACTAGTGGATACCACAAGATCTTATGTTTATACTTAATAAAAGTATGGTATAGTACTATTGTTTTATTTGTTTTCATAATTATTTTGGTAAACTTCTCATAATTTGAATGATTTTTAATGTTTGGTTTTTCTATGCTTAGTTTATGCAGAAGATAGTTATGACGTGGAAAACCTTACTGAAAACATCATCAACATAACTCTTGAAGGCAATAGATCAAGCCAAAGTTCAAATGCAATTTCATGATGATCGATGTAAATCGAGGATTTTGTAAATTGAGGTTTAAACTTTTGAGAAAGATTTCACAACCTTGAAAACAAAAACTGTTTCATTTTGCATATCCTTGCACATTTAAAATTTGTAATAGATTAGTAGTGTATGTATTATTTTTTTATTAGGCTCTTATTTTCGAGTGTAGATGTAGTACTTAAACGACAAATGTGTTTTAATGTTTTGAAGTAATATTTATGTGGCAATGTGTGGTATGTGCAAATTTAAGAAAAAAAATATATTTTTCTTAACGGGTCATAACGGGTCGGGTCACTTTTACCCGTTGGGTAAAGTGACACGACCTGTTAAGGACCCGTTAAGATAACGGGTATGACACGACACGACCCGTTAAGATAACAGGTGTTACACGAAAACGACACGAACACGACTGACACGACCCGTTTGCCAGGCCTAGTGGAAAGGCTCCCTACTATCTTATGGTGATTCAAGTTTACCTAGTTCCAATAATAAAAAATCAGAACATCAACAAAAAATAAAAAGTCAAATTTTGAAAACTTCAAAATTTAATTTTATCGTTTTTTATTTTTAGTTTTCCTTGAACTGAAAACTCAAAAATAGTTACCAAACATGATTTTTGTTTTGTTTTTTATAAAATAAAAATGTAAAAACAAAATCGAAAACGAAATAGTTATTAAACAACCTTAGAAAAACATGATGAAAACTTTGAATGTCAATCAAGCATTTTTGGTTTTGTGTTTTTTACCACATTCAACTAAAAGCAAAAATTAGACAATTGGGTAAACAAGAAAATTAAGATTTAAGAACACAAATGTTCCCGCGCTCCAACTGCGAGGACATCATCTTCTTCAGTAAACGTTCGACCTGTGCACTTTATTGCTCTAGTTCTTAAGACATCCAAACTTCTAATTGACCTCGATCGATTCTTATTAATTATGAAAACAACCAATGTACTTCTGTGTATCTTCGGGAGCCACCAATGGCAGTTCAAAAACGTCATCACTTACTCTAGCAAGTGCAACTTCTCCCTGAATGTGTACGACTTTTCTTAAATGTCAATAACAACTCCCGTTATCTAATCATGTGGTTTATCTGCTCGCAACAGGTTCTCGTTATTCCATCTTCCAGCTCCACCCAGGTTCGGTCCTCCTAGGGATCCTTCTCTCCATTCTCGTTGACCCGAAGTCTGCAATATGGGCACGTCGGGTTATTGCTCCACCAGGTCCTAAAACATTTAGCATGGAAGCGGTGGGAGCAATCCAGTGAAATGTACCCAGCATTCAGCCTCCCCAAGCAGATACTGCACTCCCCGTTGTCCTCCTGAAAGTCAAAGATCAACACAAGATTATGATTAAAATAAGAACAATAATTTTATACTTATTGCAAGGAGGAAATCATGATAATAATCTCAAAAGTTCAAAACTTCTCATAGAGAAGACTTTATTTTTCCTGAATTGATAATTTTGAAATCTAGAGTTTTGATTTTGGATTTCACATTTTCACGAGTAATGATTTTTCGCCAGAATGCTTATGTTGTCGGAATCCGAATTGAAACAAAAATTATCTTGATCAATGAAAAATTACCAACTGGAATTCGGCCAGGTGATTTAACAAGTCCATGTGTTACGGATTGATATTTGGGACTTTTAGGGTTAGTATCTATAAGTATCCACTCATAACACGGGGACCAACTCATGTAGCTGTTTTTTAGTACCACACAACAGTTACTCATGAGCAACGATCCATATCCACAACTTTGACAACATAAGCATCTTATGTTGCTAGATATTCCGATGGAATACACTTCACATACTTGACAAATAGTAATCATTTTGGCAAAATTCAAAAACTAAAACAGAAGTTTAAATCAACAATTCAAATCAAATATCATACCACCAAAAACAATATATTCATGTAATATAAACACCAATTAACGATCATATATGTTGTAATGACATTCAACAACTCTATATATTTAACTGTCAATGAACAATCGTACTATGTCATTCAATGTACCACGGAATCCTAACAAATTAAGACACATGCTTTGATTTAAAAAATATATTTGTACTCACTCACGTTTGTCAAGTTTATAGAGCCAGCAGCTTCTTCATCTTCATCAACTGTCTGTTTCAGCGAAGTTGCATCTTCGTCGTCATCCGGGGTTATCTGATAACCCTCCGGTAAGAAGGGATTAAATCCCAAAATTAAATCCTTATGCCCTTTGAATAATTCCTTCACTCGTGCAACCACATCTTCTGTGACAGCCCTGAGTTCAGGAGAACGAGAACAAGAAAATTAATCCAACTGCGGATATAACACCAACAACAACCCATCCATCATAATTAACAGAAAGAAAAAAAATTAGTTTTAATTTGAGATTGGAAATTGGAAATCTGAACTTACCTTTTAGCCTTGAAATCTTTCATGATCTCGAGAAATTTCTCATAATTTTCTTCTTTGTCACAAAACGCATCCTTCACTTGTTTGAGAAACAAAAGAGCATCGGCGGTTGTCAATTTCTGAGAATCACCGCCTCCTCCACCGCTGGGTAATCGGGATCGCCCATTGCTGTGCTCCAAATCCAGAAAGGAACAAAAGAAATTCGTAAATTTGATAATATAATTATCTAAGATAAAAAATTTATATAATCCAAAAAAAAAGTTGGAAGAACGACAGATATACATGACAAAATTCATAAAGCTCTGAAATTCACCTTTCAAAACCATTAGCCATCCGTCAAACAGAAATTTTAAGGACTTTCTCGAGAAAATAAGCAGAATATGTGAACTAGATCTCGGGGAAGAGCGGGAAAGTGGTTAGGGTTTTGATCGCTGACAGTGACAAATGGGGACACTGATGTTTTAGGGTTTTGTGTTAAAAACAAATTCTTGGTGGTTTTGTGGATATGACCGCTTGTATTTTCGATTTTTAGGATAAATTTTTAACCAAACTTTCAAACAAAATGACTTAGTTGTTGATAATTGAATTATTATTTAAGTATTAATTAACGTGCTTATTTTTTATTTGTGACACATCATTTAGTTTGTGAATTTAGTTTAAAATTTTGGTCTCGCTAGCATTAACCTTTTTTTTTAATTTGGACCACGATGGGCCAATTTGGATAATATCAGCGACTTTATAATTCTCCTAAAATAGCCAAATAAATTAGTTAATTTTTATAGAATATTTTTTTTAGCTTAAATTTTTATAGATGGCGAGTTCGGTATATTTTTCTTTTTTGCTAGGGAAAAAACGAGTACCACTGGAGTACAATAAAAAAGGAAAGCATTCCAAGTCTTGGAAGGCACTGAGTGATCCCACGTATGAGTGTCTTGAATAGGAAGATCAAATCTAGTAAATTGTCTGCCATGAAATTTGCTTCTCTAAAGACATCAATGGCTAATCCAAGAAATAAAATGCGGGGTTAATAAGAATAGCACTTGTAGTGCGCAAAATTTATGGACAATTGAGCATGCAAATTGGCATTTGGTCCAACATTGGTGGGCCTGAAGTGATTTGCCAAGTTATATTCCACACTTGTCAATATATGCCAACAGCTTCTAAGTGACCATGTCGACTGATATCAATAACTTTTGATCGAGCATGCCACCAGATACCAACGTATCCTAAGTGACCATATCGACAAATGCCCAATGCCCATACAGACAATCGTCGAACAGTTAAAAGGCAACTTTCAAGGGCATCTCAGATTTTCAAAGGGATACACCCAACACACAAATATATGTTTCTAAGTGATAATATGGAAGAGTTCGATACAATGTATTCCTTCGATAAGAATGTAAATATACTGTTCTATTATTCTTGTGACCGCAAAAAGCTTCTTCCTCGGTTATTTATTTATTTATTTATTTTTTACAAATTTTGTCAGCATTCTGAAATAACCATAAATCCATTCCTCACTGACAACTCTTTTTTATTTTTATTGGTACAAGAGACAACATGTATGAAATACTTGCTAAACATTTGATTCCGTAAACTTAACTAAACAAAAAAAACATGGGTAAATTACATAGTAGTCCCTCAGGTTTGAGGTTTATTACAACCACATATAACAACTTTAAAACATTTCACTTTCATACATCCAGTACCATTTTATTTCAAAATAACACATCCGTTAGATTTTTCATCCATTAGTATGTTAAATGATGACGTGGCTGCCACATTTGTGCTGATGTGGCTGCCACGTGGCATTTTTTTGTTTTTTAAACCTAAATCTTCTAAATATTAAAATTAAAAATCAAAATAAAAAACTGAAACCTTCCCTCATCCTCCTCTCTTCTCCCCGCAACCCCCAAACCCATATCCCCCATCTTCATCTTTTTCCCTGCAACCCAGAAAGAAAAGAAAGAAGAAAAAAAAAAAAGCCCCCTTCGATTTGTCTTCCCCCCCCCCCATCTTCCCCCATCTTCTCCCCCATCTTCATCTTCTTCCCCCAACCCCCTACCTGCAACCCAAAAAAAAATAAAAAAAACCATATCCCGTCTCACCATCATCGGGTTCGTGGAATGGGGGGTGTGTAGAGAAGGAAAGAGGGTGGGTGCGGATGGAGGGAGGGTCACCGGTGGGGGGGGGTGTTATGGGTTTCTGGTTTTAGGGTGGGGGACGTGGGTGGGGTGGGGGGTTATCATTTTTGGGTTGCAGGGATGAACTTGAAGATGGGGGGTATGGGTTTGAGGGTTGCGGGGAGAAGAGAGGATTTTAGGAGTTGCATTAGGGTGTTGGGGGGGGGGGGGAGAGGAAGGAAGGGATCTGGGTTTCGGGATTTTCTAGTTTTTTTTAATTTTATTATTTAGAAGATTTAGGTTTTTTTTTAAAATAAAATAAAATAATTTTTGTTTCCACGTGGCAGCCACATCAGCACAAATGTGGTAACCACGTCAGCATTTAACAGACTAATGGATGAAAAATCTAACAGATATGTTATTTTGAATTAAAATGGTACTGGATGTATGAAAGTTAAATGTTTTAAAGTTGTTGTATGGGATTGTAATAGACCTCAAACCTGAGGAGCTACTATGTAATTTACCCAAAAAGCATCATGAAAAGTTTGAACCCATTAATTACTACCACATACAAAGTTTGAAGCGAAGCATGTAGTAAATGTTGATTGATATTGCTACACATATTACTTGTATAGATGCAAATAACTATCAAACTCTACCCAACTTTTGAGGGTTTAGAATTGAGCAAAATGTTTGATAATATTATTAGAAAACTTCATTTTAATCCTTAAAAAAGATGAGTTTTAGATTATAACCATATGTAAGATTAAAATCCAATTTTAGTCCCTAGCACATTTAATCATATCATTTATTAGTTGTATTTTGATGTTTTATTTTATCCTTTTATTTTTATTTTAATGTATTAATTACATTTAAATTTAATTTTTATTTCATTCATCATAATATATTTTAATGTCTACATTTAGGCAACTAATTTTTTTATAATATATATTCCGATAACAATTTTGTATGTTCTTTATTTAGGTACATTAATACATTTGAATATTTTGGTATATCCATCGGTACAAACATGTAGTTACATTGATTCAATATAATGCATTTCGGTCAATATAATGTATTTCGTTACGTACACTTTGGTACACACATTTGAGTATCGACTTTTAGGTACATTAATTCAATTATTATATTTCGGTAAATACATTTAGGTACATACATTTTGGTATTGATATTTAGGTACATACATTTTCGATATTGACATTTAGGTACATACATTTCGATATTGACATTTAGGTACATTAATTCAATATAATACATTTTGGTACATACATTTAGGTTCATTATAATATATTTCGGTACAATCATGTAGGTACAAATATTTCAGTACAAAAAAGTCAATTTTATATATTTTGGCACAATCATTTCTGAACACTTATGTATTTATATATTTTTGTATCACAATTTTTTTTTAATATTTTCTCATTACATTCATTTCTAATTAAAAAAAAAACTAAATATGTGCATATTAATAAAATTAAAATTTAATATGGAGAGATTAAATAAAAATACACATTAAATAACAAAAATTGAATGTAAATTTTGATAAAAGTACACTCAAGGGATTAAATTGAATATTTAATCTAGCACCAGGTTTTTTTTTAAATTTTAATCTTTTGCAAGGATTAATGTTCAAAAACCCCTAATATTATTTCCCTCGTTGATAAATGAGAAAATTGGGAAAGTGTGAGATAATAATTAGCAAAGGGAATTGTTATTAGCACTCTAAAAATTTCATTATACACTCCAAACTTTCTATATTAAGAAAGAAAAATACACTTGTGAGGAGTGTAAAATGAGATTTTTGAAGTGTCAATAACACCTTCCTTTTTTTTTTGGAAATCAGAATAATCATATCCGGGCAAAGATGCCAAAAGGAACAAGAAAGCCAACCAAAGTGGCTAACAAACAAACATCACAACAACAGAAAAGAGAACAAGAAGGTACAAGGGAACCGTGATGCCGCACCAAATGCTAAAGTGTCCCTTCTCAAACTAACAAAAAGCAACTACGGAGGGCAAGGAAGACCATCATTGCATAATACATGGACCAGGGAAGATGGGGGTCTATTGACCCAAGTTTGATCACATACTTCCTTACAATTGCGCGACGCCAAACAGTCCACGACCAAGTTGGCCAGTCTTAGAACCCAAGACCAGCGGCAAGCTTGAAAAGCCCTTCCCAATCTTAAGCACTTCCTGAGAATTGGAAAAGCATCCCAATTGCCCTTCTTTGCCGGATCCCTCAGGCAAGAGATTGAATCGAAAGAGTCCGATTCAACACATATCGAATTCCATCCAATTCTTGCCCCCAGATTACACCCATGCATAATGGCCAAAGCTTCCGCCATAGTAGCACCCGTAGCCTTAATCAAAACAATAAGTCGTGCAAAGTAGTGGTAGAGGTTTGTCATTGAGAAATGGCTCGTTGTACTGTATGCCCTGCATATGTAGAGCAAAGCACCCTTTGGACTGGAGTAGGATTCTCTCCCTTCCAAAATTAATGAGAAAATTGTACTCCTTTGGACCAGTGAGGAGTTGACAACAGGTGCTCCCGGTATCACGAAAAGGTCATCAGAATGAAATGACTGAAAAGTCAAAAGGGTCAACTTCCTCCCCAAATCAAAGTTAACACAATTACACCCCCAATATAGGACGGCATCATTGCTACCTGTAATTGTTGCATTCAATCTCCATTTCAATACACAATTAGGCAAGACACAAACTCATCCAAAAAATAAATGAGATTTCACAATAGTACGTAAGAATTAAGCTTGCTGATTGAGTTAGGGTGCACTCAATTGCGTGTATAGATGATTCTTGACCGTTGATCACTATGAGACCCAATTTGAACAATAGTTAAAAGGGCGATTGATCGTATTATTTTCCTTGTCAATTTCAACTAAACTCTAGCAAAATTCTAAAATTATTTTCCTTCAACCTAACTAGTATGCATCATTGTGGCGTTCGTTGATCCAAGTCATTTACAACTTCCCCCCTATTGATTATTTATGGTAGAATGGCTTTACATTTTTGCTAAACTTATATCTCTGGCGTATGATTAGCTTATTTAGTACTGTAGTTTATTTTTGTTTTGACAAAAAAAAAAAAAAAAGAACTGTCCGTTTGCAATTAAGGGTTATAAACATTTTTAAGTGTTTTTCTATTAATTTTTATTACTATCAGGGCCCAAGATCCTCTCCTGAGCTCAGGGTGAGGATATTCCTGAGCAAGCTCATTGGGCCGTTCAAATTTTATCCAACGGCAGGGAGCCTCTCTAAAAGTTATAATAATTGTAACCGTTAGATAAAATTTGAACGGCCTGATGGGCTTACTCAGGAGGATCCTCACCTTAGCTCAGGAGAGGATCCTGATCCTAATGTCAGAAGCCTCAAAAGGAATCTCCTATGTCAATTGGTTGTTTTTCTTGGCAGTTGGATTTATCGTCATTTGGTTGACAAAGACATTCTGTTTCTTTTAGTCTCATATGCCAACTTGAGTATAAAACAGTGGTTAAAGGCTACCTAGACTAAGTTCTAGGTCGGATTATTCATGTTAGTCGTCCGCCCAACCACCAGCGCAAGCTTCTTATATTAAAAAAAAAAGAATTATTATTAGCACTTCAAAAATCTCATTTGACACTCTAAATTTTTTATAATTATAAAAAAATTACACTTGTTAGGAGTGTAAAATAAGATTTTTAGAGTGCTAATAACAGTTCCCTAAAAAAATAGGATAACAAAAATCATAAGAGAAGCAAGATCCACTTGCCCGGTTCACCAGTTACTACCACTACGAGGCCTAATCATACAAAAGAAGAGTTTGGTCATGACTCAAAATGAATGCTAGCTATATGCTCAATACATGCAAGTCAGAACATTATTTTCAGGGAGTTGGGCTGAAGTAAAAGAAGCCACGGGAAAGTGGATTAGGAGCCTTGAAAATTTACTGAGACTTTTAATACATGCTATACATTCGAAAAAAAAAAATCTAAACATGGAACCTAAAATACATGCTAGACATTTTTTTAGGGTAGTGTTATTCACACATCATTTTTTACTTCTCACATGCCTGTCTCAATTTCTGACCGTTAGATCGAATTAATTGAAAAAGATGAATGACAAAACGTTAATAAGGGTGTATAGGAGGTAAAAATGGATGTGTGAATAGCACTATCCTTCTTTTAATTTAACAACTTACGAGACTTTTCATGTTTTGTTTTAGTGAAAAAACTTTAAAACATTGGTTCCTTTTAAGGAACAAAAATGATATTCATATCATCTATTTGTACCATCTCTCTAACAGAGATGTGACCCACATGTCCTGGTGGGCTTTACCTCTATTGAAAAGATGGTACAAATGCATGGTAAGTATATCACTACTTTTTACGGAAAAACCTAATTAGTAGAGAGACAACATATATGTACATTAGAGTTTAAAAGAGAGAATATTTATACAGTTCCTTGGCATCCTTTCTAGTTTTCTAGTCCATACTTCTTACCCAATGCCAACACCATTATTTCGAAGAGACTTGAAGCTTTGGCAAGTTTACTCTTCCTGCTTAGGACTATTTAAACCTTCATCATCAACCACCATTTTGGTGGGGCAAAAATAAGAACAAAAAGAAGGGAGGAGTCAATTATAATTTCAATACAATTCAGTGCCCTTTTCTGCGGGTGGGGTCCTTTGGAGGCTGACCAATGAGAAATAAGCACCTGCAGGCCCTTTGGCCAAAAGCGACGAGTGGGTCCCTTTCTCCACGACCTTTCCTTTATCCAGCACAGTAATCATATCACAATTCTGTATTGTACTCAACCTGTGGGCCACCACCACGCTGGTCCTCCCCACCATCACACGCTCCAGCGCGTCCTGCACAACCTTTTCAGACCGACTGTCGAGCGCGCTGGTCGCCTCGTCCAGCAACAAAATGACGGGGTTTCGAAGTATCGCCCTGGCTATAGCAATCCGTTGCTTTTGTCCGCCGGATAGCTGCACTCCCCTGTCCCCGCACGACGTGTCATATCCGTCTTTCAATCCCGCAATGAAATCGTGCGCGTTGGCCGCCCTCGCGGCTTCCACTATCTCCAACTCATCGACCTTGTCCGATACGCCGTACACAATGTTTTCTCGTATGGTCCCGGCAAATAACGTTGGCTCTTGACTGACCAATGCTATGTGTTTTCTCAATGATTTGAGGTGGTACGACTTCACATCTTGACCGTCGATTTTGACCGCTCCCTTGATCGGATCGTAAAACCGTTCTATCAATCCGATGATCGTTGATTTACCTGAACCACTTTGGCCCACCAATGCCGTTGATTTTCCCGCCTCGATTTTGATTGAGAAGCCGTTGAAGATCATAACATCGGGCCTAGCGGGGTACGCGAAATGCACGTTGCGTAGCTCAATGCTGCCCGTAATTCTTTTGGGGTCGAGACCTTCGGGGTCTTCAGGCTCGATTTTTGTGTACTTGTCTAACACGGCAAAAACAGACCCAACGGCGTCTGCTCCCTTGGCGAGGTCTGTGGTCATGCTACCAGCATCGGCAATGACCCGGCCCGTGCTGACCAAGATCATGAAGGTCTGGAAAAGTTGTTTTGCATTGACGTAGCCCTTGGCGACAAGCTTGCCTCCGTACCAAAAGTCGAAGGCCCAAGTGACGGTCGTGAGGCTTTGGGAACAAGCGAGTCCAATGCCGGCATACCATGACTGTCGGATACTCTCCCGACGCGGGCCTTCTTGGGCCTTTTCGAGCATTTTCAAGAGGCGGTTTTGGGATGAGAAGGCGGTGACTGTCCGGAGGTTGGAGACTGCTTCCGCGGCGAGCTTGCTGCTTTCTTCCTGGGATTTTATGGCCTTCTGGGACATATTTTTGAGCAGGACACGCCTTGTGTAGAAGCATACAATGATGAGGGGTTGTACGGCTATCATGACAAGTGCAAGTCTCCATGTAATGATCAGTCCCATTGTGCAAGCTACTGTTACTGCTGACATGGTTTGTACAACAAGAGCCATTCGATCACCCACCAAAGATCTCACCTGCAACAAAATAATGTTCATCTTAAATCTTAAAAAATTCGTACTTTTATATAGCTAAGAAGATCAGTCCAACTAGCTCTACAATGTTATTTTTCTTTTCAACTTCAAATTAAGTTCGAAGTTCGAATCACATTTATCTTAAGAAAGTTCTAACAAAAACATAAAATATGCGACTCCATACATAATTCTAATGAGTATAACTACATACACACTCTTAAACTAGTGAATCATTTAAAAAAAAAATGCGTCAATAATGTGATCAGTTTGTTTGTCTGAACAACATTATCGATCATAGTAGATTATTAGTGAACGAATTTGAGGACTATAGGCATCATCAAATTCTGATTATACGTACCACATTGGCATCTTTGGCGAGTCTAGAGCAAATGGCACCACTAGAATTCTCATCCTGATCAAACCATCCCACTTCAAAAGTGAGTACCTTTGAAAGCATCCTCTCTCTAATCCTCTTAGTCAAGTACTCTCCCATGTAAGCAAAGTTGTAATGCTGGCTGACATTGATCAGCAACGAGAAGATTGCCAACCCTAGAAAGCAAAGAGAATAAGTCCTTGTCTTCGCCTTAATCTCGTCGTGGTCCTTCAAGAAATAAACCGATATCATGGACCCCATCGCAAACGCGTACAACGGCTGTACCGCCCCAAAAAGAGTCGCACTCGTGCACCCCATAACTGCTTGTTTCCACTCGGGAAGGTTCAAGGCCAAAAGTCTCCTAAACGAAGGCACGGGCAGTTTCTTCTGTTCATACTCTACAACACTCTCTTGATCCGGAGCTCTACCCTGAGCAAACGAGTTTGCGGAACTCGAACGACTCACCATGGAGAGCCTACGGCTGCTTGTGCTGTGAATATCGTTTGAAATGGAAGACGAAACACCATAATGCCCTAACTCTTCTGGTTCCTTTTCTTTCTCCGTTCGTTGGAGGCGGACAAGGGACGTGTAGTGGCCGTTTTCACGTTGGGAGAGCTCATCGTGGGAGCCAATTTCCATGACCTGGCCGTTTTGAACTACGGCAATCACGTCCGCATTTCGGATGGTGGAGAGGCGGTGCGCGATGATTATTGTGGTGCGGCCGACGGCTGCTTTGTCTAGGGCTTCTTGGACTACTCGTTCGGATTCGGAGTCCAGTGCGCTGGTGGCTTCATCTAGGAGGAGGATACGAGGTTTCTTGATGATGGCTCGTGCAATGGCGATCCTTTGTTTCTGTCCTCCCGACATTTGAACACCTCGCTCGCCAACCTGTTTAATCAAAACGTTAATTTGTTTTAGTACTTGAAAAATGTAGTTTTGTTGTGCCTGCATGTTTCATGAACTGTAATAAAAATGAAATGAAAATTACTAGAAAGACTTACTCATAAATGATTGTACAAGACTAAGAATATCAATTAATATATTTATAAGAGAAACAAAAATCAGGTTCGCCACTTTAGCAATATTTATACGAATAATGCAGTGACGTGCTGTAAAGTTATCGAATTTAAATGTCATGGCGTACTCATTGTAAGTACGTCTTTTTATTTAAAGGGTTGGTCTTAGTGTAGTGATTGTTGGAAGGAACTTCTAAACTTGAAACTTCTCCAAACATGAACGAAAGGATTTTTAATCAAATGCTAGTTGGTGTGTTAGAGGTATCTTATAATGCAGTTTCGACTGATGATTATAAAATGCAAGGCAAGCATCATTGTCAAAGAAGCAATAAAGATGTTGTTTACTGATTAAGTTTACCTAAATTAAGTTGTGCAAGACTAGCAGATGACACTTAATTGCAGTAGCGAAAAGTAATAAAGCCTACATACCCTAGTGCGATTCGTCCTCCACTGATCACCCTCCTCCTACCATTTAACAATTTAACTACTAACGTTATCGTTTGAGAGTAACAAAATGGTAGAATACTAGTTTAGAGCTTTTTTTATTGGGGTTTTGGGGGGAAGGTTTTTTTACATGCTAGAGAGGCAATCAAATTCGTATTAAATTTAGCAATTATATTGATTCCTGATTAAATTAAAACCTTACTTAAGGGCAGGATATAACGTAATAAAGTACGATAACATTAATCACCAATTATATAATAACCAAGGTGGTGAAGATTTATATGATGCAACTGATGGCTGCAAATAGTGGTGCGCATGCAATACTACTATTATATTGGGTTTGTTCTGTTGCAACTTAGACGATTGAAGGGAAGACCTTCATAGCCTAGTGGGGGACAAAATCATCAAGGTTTAGGAGCAATAAGATGCATAAAGGAATGCGCACAGTAGAGGATTATTATTATATAAATTAATAGATATACAACTGTATAACAAATATATAATTTTAAAACTATATCTATAAACTAAGATAATCCTTTTTTTATTCACATTTCTTACTTACTCATGTCATTCTCTACAGGAAAACAAAGACTTTTCGGGAAAAATGGAAATAAGAATAAGAAAGAGCTTGCACTAGAAGAATATACCAATGAAAACCCAATTGATATAATTTAAAATCCACTATTCGTTCAAAATATCTACGAAAAAGATAAGATTAGTGCTTTTTACACATCTCTGCTCACTTCATACAACACCTTTCTAATTTATAACCACTAAATTAAACAATTATAAAGTAAAATCAAAGATCAAAATTAAGAAAAGTGTATACAAAATAAAAAAGAGTGTTGAAATTACTGCCCTAATATAAACCCCCCACACCAGTTTGGCTAGTTATCCTTGGCTCCTATGTGGATCCACTACACTAGACGACAAACATATCAAAAGACAGAATCTTTGACATCATATGTGATTAACAATTGGAAAGCAATAATTTGTCATTTGCTTAAAAAGTGGAATGTTTAAATATCACACCATTTCTAATAAAAATACTTGACTTTTATATGCAAAGTATCATTCGTTTTGTTAACAATTCAAATTTTGGTAAATGTTTTGAAATATTTTTTTATTCTTTTTATTTATAATGATATATTTTAGTTTCTACATCAAATTGTGATTGAAAAAAAATTAATCTCTTATATGAAAAGTTAATAAGTAGCATGTAACTAATTAACGTGTTACATGCTGTGAAGTAATTACCTGAGTATCATATCCTTGAGGCAACTGGGAGATGAAATTATGAGCATTAGCAGCTTTTCCAGCCTCAATAACCTCTTCAATCTCAGCATCTTCTTTCCCAAAAAGTATGTTCTCCTCAATGCTGGTTGCAAATAGAGCAGGCTCTTGGCTCACCAAACCCATCTGCGACCTCAGCCACTTGAGCTGAAGCTTATTTATCGCCACCCCATCAAGAAGAACCTCGCCTCCGAGTGGATCATAAAACCGCTGCAACAGCGATATCACCGTGGACTTCCCCGAGCCGCTTCCGCCCACCAACGCCACCGTTTTGCCCGCCGGAATTGTCAAGTTGAAATCTTTGAAGATGATGCTTTCCGGTCTCGACGGGTATGCGAATTCGAGATGCTTGAATTCGACTTCACCGGAGACATCCTCTAGACATTCGCCTTCCATGTTGTCGGAATCGATCTTGGGAACTCTTCTTATCACTTCCATTATGCGCTCGGCTGCCGAACATGCCTCTGAAAAGTACTTCAAGTTTGATAGTCCAGAACCTAATGCCCTGTTCACCAAAACAATAAAACCATGCATTAAGAATTTGGGTAAACTAAAAGGATCATAAGAATCTACAGCACATGATACACTGTTAATATTTTATCATAAACAGAAACAAAATCGAAGAAAATCAAAGGATGCATCATTTTTGGGAGGTTATAAGTTTGTACTTACAAGAAGTACCAATTTACCAATCTACAGACTACAGTACATGGTACATTGTCATTTTGCCGTAACAAATAAAAAAGAGGCAATATGCATGAGTGGACATTTTATAAATTATCTCAAAAATATAATGGGAAACACTAAACAAACAATATGTCATACACTACTCACAGTTTTGTGCCATTTTAGCACCTGTTTAGTGTTGTTCACATTCTATTTTTTGATTAAAAGTCTAAACCAGTTTGATCAATGCAATTTCCCGACGAAAAGAAAAAAAAAAAAAAATCAACGATATACGTATTAAAAATATGCAAAAAGGCGTCGAGCATACAATCCACCAACGGCGATGGCAGCACCAACAGCAAAAACAGTGCCTCCCCGAGCGCTATGGTACATGACCATTGTGCTTCCATAATACGACATGAAAGACCAAATGGCGAAGACAACGCCGTTACTTCCAATGGCCAGGCCTTTAGCCAAGCCCTGGCTCAATCCCAACTTGACGGAGCCCTGAAGAGCCACAGAGAATTCCGATATAGTTTTGTTTTCTCCGACGAAGGCATAAACGGTCCGGATTGAAGAAATTGCCTGCTCTGCTATGTTGCCAGCCTTGTTGTACTCTTCCCTAATCTGCCTAGCTAATCCCATCAAAGTCCTTCCGTAAATTAAACCGGGAATTACTAGCAGCACCACAAATGGAAACCCTACGATTGCTAGCCTCCACATCATTATAAACGCCGCTATGTAGCTTCCAAAGAACATGGAGGAATTCATCACGAAGTTCGGTAGCTGGTGGAATTTGAAACATGCAACTTCATTACTTGATGAAAATAAACTCGTAAAGGTTATTAGCACTACAAAACAGTCATTATGCACTCGTCTATTAGAATGACGATTTTGAAGTGTTTGATAACAACTTTCACTAAATTATGCACAATGAAAGCTTGTGGGATTACCTTTTCACTTAGGACATCTTGAATCACTAAGCTATCATTAGAGACACTTGTGATGACTTCTGATGTGCTTGTGACATGTAAATCAAAGTAGCCTACATCTTGCCTTAGAACTGCTTTCAAATATCTGACTCTCATTCTAGCTGCTTGCCTCTCGCCGGTTCTTGTCCAGCAATATCCCTCTACAAAATTACAAGTTCAAAGTGATATATTAGTTATTATTTCATTGAGTCATTGAGTGAGCAAAAGTAAACAACATTTGGTGAAACCCACCTAGGAAACAGCAAACAAATCCCCCACAAGCCAAGTACAACAGCGCCACTGCATTCTGCCAACCACAAAAACCAGAACCCAGTTAGAAAATTAAATATTTGTGTTTTCCTTTTTGCGACGATTTTCGCTGCCCATTTTTCAGCCGAGTATAATCTGAACTGAATATTTTATATTTTTATGTTCACTCATAAGATAATATATGCGAAGTTAGAGTGAAACAACAATTTTTCTCGTACTCCTCTTTCAATCAACTGCACTGCAAAGTAAATATTCCATAGTTTATATGCACTTGTGAGAGCATATAGAAAGCTAAAGAAAAAAAGTGTCAAAATTATCGGCTTTGAGTTTGTGAACAGAAGGTGAAAATATCATTCCGCGAAGAGAGAGAGAGAGAGAGAGAAAGAGAGTGATACTTAAATTAAATGATTACCTTATTTATGTTATGCAGAAACGCATCTTGAGCCGAAGTTGGTGAACCGCCAATATTGTTCATCAATTTGCTAGTGATCAACAAAACCAGCGGTGTGGAGAAGCCATCACCAAGGGATCCAAACAGCCCTAAAATCATCAACAATCTATCAACCCCATCAGCATGCATGAAAATGGACCTCATGGACCCAACTTTCATCGTGCTGCTGCTGTTATTGTCCTTACTGGGACTTTTCTGTCCCATTTTCCCACCCTTTCTCAGCAACCAAACAACAGTTAAGATTCTCAGACCACGTCCCGACTCGGGTTATGTATGCTTCAAAAATATATAAACCCCTTGGCCTTCACTATAGTATACTGAGAAGGAAGATATATACATATACATACATACATACATATATATATATATTCAGAGCCCAGAGGATTAGGATTTCTTATGCATAGAACTATTGTAAGTGAAATAAAGTTGGGATGAATAAAATGAACATGTGCTGATGGGAGAAGATCACGGCTGACTTTAAAGGCCCTTCTCTGCGGATAGCGTCATTGGTGACGATCGGTGGGTCTGTGGACCCACGTTATGACTGGTTATTCCCCGTAAGCATCTGCTGCTATATAGTGTTTTAAAAAGCAAATGATTTTTATTTATTTTTATTCATTAAGCAACAAAAGAAATCGTAGAAAATAATAGATCACAATTTAATTATGTACAAGTGAACAGGGTATATCACAATTTATATACAAGTGAAATTCTGAGAAAATAAAATAACAAACTTTGTCAGGATTTTCAACCAGAAATCAAAGAAAAATAGACCACCATGACAAAAACTACAAAGAGTTATAGATTAAACATTGAGACTATCCTCGATCAAAACATCAGCTAACATATCCGGTGGTTCTTCAAATCAAATAGCTTCTTGCTCGCAAAGCAATCCCCCCTTGGCAAGCCTGTGGAATGTTGCAGGAACAATGGATTAAAAACGAATTGGAATATTGCAGAAATAATGGTGTGGAATGTTGCAGGAACATTGGATTAAAAACGAATTGGAATGTTGCAGGAATAATGGATTAAAAACGAATTGGAATATTGCAGGAATAGTGGTCTCTGCTGGTGCTTAATTTCTTGAGTTGGAACCTGGATCCTGGATTATTACTCATTTGGGTTTTAGAATTGGGAATTGCCACATGTTATACCTTCAACTTGGTACAAAACAATTATTAATTAATTATATTTGAAGGGTTTTTTGTTTTTCTTTTTTGTTTCTACCTTTCTACTTTCTTTTTCACTACTTCTTTCTATCTGTTTATTTAAATCCACATATCAATCTTTTTTTTTCTTTTTTTTACCAGAAAATAAAATTTTATAAAAGCTCAAAATCTCTAGTATAACCAGTGCCCAAACAATCAAATCTAAAAACTTCCATGGCCGACCTCAGAAGACAGTGGTCCCAAAAGAAAGGATTATCTATCGAGAGACATACATGGGTTAAGGCACTAGCTACAAAATTAGTTTTCCTGAACATATGCTTCCAACTAATATTATAAAATCATAAGCCAGCCACTTGATGTCGTTAATGATCAGATTAAGACGCCAAGGAGGGACCCAATCGCCAAAGAACCACTTGGATAACCAGCTTTGAGTCTCCTTCAACCATTAAAGTATTTATACCCTTTCGTCTAGCCAGCAATAGTCCTTCTGATTTGGATCCTCTCCTGAGCTAATGGAGAGGATCCTCCTGACCAAGTGTTATGGGCCGTTGGATTTTCATTCAACGGCTACAAATAGATGGATCCTTTTAAAGTTATAATAATTATAGCCGTTGGATGAAAATCCAACGGCCCATAACACTTGGTCAGGAGGATCCTCTCCGTTAGCTCAGGAGAGGATCCAAATCCTAGTCCTTCCTTCAACGCAATAGCCTCCGCAGTAGAAATAGTGGCGCCATTCAGATTAATCGCCCCCGCACCAACACGTTGGCCCATCTCGTTCCTTAAAACAAAAGCAGCACATAACCATCAAAGTTTAGTTTAATACAACCATGAGGGGGAGGAAGCCATTTGATGGGGTGCTCAATGGTGTGGTCTCCGTTGGATTTCTTCTTACAGTTGGTCTACAAATAAGAAACACCAATATTTGCCACAATGGCTAAGCTAGTTGCCATAGGATTTAAACTTCTAAAAACTTCGTTATTTCTGTTATTCCAAATGTGCCAGCAGTTAAGGAACCCTTTGCTTAAATCACTCAACGCTTTTCCTTCCTTAGCATCCAGCGTTTCCAACCAATCACATTAATTACTCGATTCAAATTATTTTTCCAAGGACTTACAGGAGAAAGGTTCCAGATCTCCATAGCACGTTGGCAATTTAGACACAAATGATTTTGATTTTCCTCATCAATACCACAAATAGGGCAAATTTTGTCCATGTTCTAAACAAATTTCCTCATCAATCTTTTTTTTTTTTTCCATTAAAAGGAATCTTAGCTTGATATTTTTGTTTTCTAGCAAAAGGAACATTCTGAAGAAAATAAGGGTTTTATACAAAATTATGCCGTTAATTAAATCACAATTAAATATTAAACTCATTACATATGCATACCGTATTGGCAATTATATGCACAAATCGATAAAAAAAAAATTGGTTAATCTACAAATATGTGAGACAACTATCACCAAACCAAATGCTCATTGGTTAAATGCAAAAAATATTGCTCGAGTAGTTGTTGCATATATTTATATCAAACTATTAGATACAATGCATCTAAAATAATAACATATACAACACAAAAATATTAATAAAGTAGTTGGTTCATATATTTATAATGTATCCATTGTATTATCAAATTATTTACAAAACTTAATATTTGATTAGTACCCATGTAGAAAATATTATTTGGGATAAAATATTTCTATTACTATTTTCCCCACAAATAGAGTTAATTACTATTAAAAGTTGTTATTATTTACCACATGATGAAAAACAATAACGCATATGCACTCTGTTGCGAGTTTGATCTCCACTGATCTCTTTCACTCATGATATTTACAATTTAACCTCCTAACGCTATTGTTTGTGAAAAAACATTCACTAAATTTCAACAAATATTTCAATGGTTGTCCTCAAGATTCGCAAATTATTATCAGTAGTATATATATTTTTTTCGTCAAACAAAGATTCGTACAAGGCTCACATCAGGTGCATAAAAGAATTGCATCAAATATCATCACTTCCCTCTCATCACGATTACATTACAATTAAGTATAAACAATTCTAATTAAGCTAGCTAGTTATTTAGATTCTAGAGTATGCCTGATATATGTGGTTTAAAATTTTGCTGACAGTCCTAACGGTGTTACTGAATCAATAAACCATAAAAATTGAATAAAATAAAAGCTATAATCACGCTGTACAGTGCATTGTGAGACAGTTAAGCTGAGAAAATTAAAATAATACGGGACTTATCTGACAGTCCTAACAGCTTATAACCAACTACTAATTGAAAAACCTAAATTTAAATAAGAGCTTGTCATAAGTGTGGTTAACATTTTTTTTCTTAAAAAAAAAAAAAAGACAACTAGTGAAAAATCACAATTATTTGTGTCTGATCCGGAAGAAGGTTGTTGGAAAAACATGGTTAATATATTGAAAAAGCATTATTTTATTTTTCTCGTTAAAAAAGCATTATTTAAGGTTGCCGTCTTCTGCTAGCTCATGGCCATAACCATCGCAGTCATATTGACATTCCACTTCTCATCCAACAAATAAAAGAAACAAAAATAATAAAGAAATCAGATACCATTGGTACAAAACGATCAAAATCATATAGATTCTGATTGCAAGGGACAAAAACGAGAGGTTTTCTTTTGTAGCTAAAAGCATGGTTTTAGACTTTACTAGCACTATCACTCGTAGTCTCGTCCCATAGATGTTTATTATTCAATCAACTTTTGTCATTCATTATAATATGAGACAAACGTGAGGCGTGAGCCCATCCCTGTGTAGGCTTAATTAACTTCATAATTATAATTAGAGTTTCCTACAATAATATAATTTCTTATTCTCTTGTAATTAGTTTGTATCTATACTGACGGAAAAGAATACAATACATAAATAGAATAGTGAGCATACACTACATAAATGATGGTGAACAAAAATGCACTCTAACAAAAAGAGCATCTCTCAACAAAAACATGCAAGAAGGTGAACACGTGGCTCATAACATACACGTGGCTTGCACGATATCCAATAATCTTATTTTTGTTAGGTATTGGGTTTAATTTCAATTGGTTTGCATATATGCATAATATATTTATGAAGACTGGCATTAAATTTGGCTTTTATTATAGCTGCAGGTTTCTTCGATATGTTTCGCAAAAAGAGACTGTTAAATGTCGCTTTTTTTAAGTGAGATTTTTATAAATTTTCTGTTATCTTATAATTTAAGGTTAATTTTTATATTAATATTATAAAATATTATGTAAAAAATTTGAAATGACAAAGAACATATAAAAAATCATATTTTTGAAAAAGTCTTCTTAATATTTCTCCTAGTAAAAACGCAAATTCCAAATTAACAAATTTATAAAAGAGTTGCATTAATTAGAAAATAGATTTGAAAACAGTCGCTACAATGATGTGGAATTGTGCATTGATGTGCATGGCCAATGCCTCCAATACGTGACCAAATTTGGTAGTTTTCAGTTCCAGAAGCTTTATGCAGATGGTGCCACATGCAGAAATGTGGAGGAAGAAGGAAAGACATGCAGTGGTCTTCTCTCTGCAGGCAGCAGGAGGAAGCCATTAATGCATTTTAACAGTTCTCATTGTCAAGAGTGAAGAAATTATATATGATTATAAGCACTTAAGTTATTTTGACAACCAAATTTATAGTACAATTTTAACTTTTTTTTTTTAATTAGTATCAGAACAAGTTAACTTATATGTGTTAAGCTCAAGGAAGAAAATATCGGTAATATAGGTAGTCCGAAAACACGGAAATATCGATGGAAATATCGGTAAAATATCGATATCGATAAAAATTACATGGAAACCACGGAAATTGTAAGAAAAACTTGGAAATTATTGAAACTTTGTAGGATGTTTATTTAGTCAATTATCTATTAGTTTATCACAAAAAATTGGAAAGAAATGCATTGCATGATGGATTTAACATTATCAAGTTGATTATATAGCGAGCTGACAAACATTGTGAGTGTAGAAAATATGTAGTAATTAATGAAAGAAGTCTAAACACACCATAATCATTTATATATAATGAATTAGTAAAATATTTTACACTTTAGTACCACATAGAGTTTCTATGAGGTTCAAATTTTACACTTTTGTCCATTGTCTGCAATTGTAAAAAGTGATTGAAAAATTCATGAGGTGAGTCAGATGGGGTCACTCAACCACAGAGGCACACACACACACAGACATGCCATCACACACGCACACAACACACGCACACATATCTCACACGCAT